TCCCTTCTCTTTCTCTTTCTCTGCCTCTCTCTCTCTCTCTCTCTCTCTCTCTGCTTCCAGGCTCCAACCCCGGTTTCGTCCCTTCGTTTTCCCGTCATCTTCGTTTATCGTCTCCACCCTCCCTCCCCCCGCTCTTGTCCGTCTTGTCTTCTCCCTACTCTCGCGCGCGTTCTCTTCAACCCGCCGAGGCGTCTCCTTGACTTTCTTTTCCTCCGCCACGCAACACGCGACACCGTTACGCGCGCGTGCGGCAGCTCCGTCCGGCAAACGCTGACCGCTCGCGATTGATGGATACGCGCGAAACGCGCCGGCGATCGCGCCCCGCCGACCCTCGGTGTCCTGATGGCGAGTCACGTGGATCGGCGCGGACCCGGTGATTCGGGCGAGTCGTCCCGCTAGCCCCCGGTTACAGTCCGGGCCGCGCCGCGACGGTGCGCGCGCGTGTGTGCGTGCATGCGTGCGTGCGTGCGTGTGCGTGTGCGCCGTCTGATCGTCGACGGATGTCTACCACTGGACGGCCCGCGGAGTGACCGTGCACGGCGTGGAGGAAATCCGCGGCGGATCGGGTCGATGTGCACAGGTCCGAGGAGACGCGCCGACACCTGGCCTCGCTCGGTGTAAGTACCAACCCACTCCGCTCGACCGCCCGCGCCCTTCTGCCGCTCTGGGCCTCGCGAAACCACCCCCCTGAAGCACGCCGCGAACGCCGGCCCGACGACCGTGAGTCACCACGCGTGCCCTCCGCCCCGCGCGCGCGATAAGTCAGCTGGAAGTGCGACGCGGTGTGCCACTACTGCTCGTCGGAGCGGTGCTCTCGTGTGGTTCACGGGATCTCTCGGGTCAGCTGTTGCACCGGTTGTGCGCCTCGGCACACGCCGGTGTCCCCGCCGGCGAGAGAGAGAGATCGCGTCAGTCCGCTAGACTGATTAAATATGCATTCCCCTCGCCGCGCGTCGCCCTTAAAATAGGGCTTCATCGACTCGCGCTAAATCGCCCCGTGTTTGCGCTCCTTTATAGACACGCGCGCGCGCTCCGCGAGCCTGATTCCACGCCTCTCGCCTGCTTTGCAAATTTACGAAACGTGCGATGAAATAAGTCTCCCGTTAAGCGCGCTCCGCAGGAGCCACCGCTCGCGCTCTCGTTCTCGGAAGCCGCCTGGCTCTTTCTCAGCCGGGCTCTGTTCTTTTTTTTTTCTTTATTCAATTCTCCCGCGAGACCCCATCTCGCGTTTATTTAGAAGTAAAAACAGATTGAAAGTATCGAGTCGCCGCGTTTATTAATAAATACCGAGCTCAAAATACGCTCCGCGTTTGCTCTCGGGCTGTTATTGTTGCGGCCGCCTAGCCGTGCCACGCTCCTTCAAATTCGAGTAACGCACTCAACAATTCCAACGCCGCGCTCATCTGCATTCTTATTAATACCGTTACGCGGAAGCGGAGCGAATCTCCCTCCACCTCTTCGCGTACGTACGCGCGAGATACTACGAGACACTCGGGCTGGCCCGAAAGAAGCGGCGGCGAGGGGGACGAGCTGCCACAAATCGCGAGATACCGGCGACGGCTCATCCGGGAAGGTCGATAACGAGCGCGTAATCGTAGAATCGTGATCCCGAGACTCGTTAAACAAATTAAAATCTCCCACGTCGCCGGCCGTGGTAAATACATCGCGGCGCGCTTCTCCGGGTCTGTAATTAATTACTCGATACCGCGGATATCCCTAATCCCCACGAGCTCCGCCGGGGCTCGAACGACTCCGTAATGAAATGCACCCTTCCGTCGTTCCGTCGGACGCTGTTGTTTTTCCAGCCGACGCGATGGAACGAAGTGCCCCGAAATATTCTCCAAGTTTAATAACGCCGGCTTATATCGCGCGGGTATTAAGCGCGCGTTAGCACGTACGTCTGCCGACGGTATTAAATTTTGACGTTCCTTTGGGGAGGGGGAGGGAGGAGAGTTACTTTTCCCGCTCTCGAAGGGTCGTTTAATGACTCCAAGTTCTCAAAGGAGAATTACGACGGTTAATACATCGCGATTACTTCCACGTGCCTGCGCGCGGAACGCGCCCGGGCCGATCCGTCCCGGTATTTCACTCCGGCGAGGATATCTCGACGTTTAATAATGCGTGCGCACCGCCGAGGAACTTTTGTGCATTTGGAAACTTGGCCCGTTTTCATAACGGATGATTTGTCGCGCTCGTAAAACCGTATCGCCGCCCCGTGATTCGCGATCTCGCTCGAGAGGATCTGTACAGTGACCGGACCTGAGCGAAAAGATTGTCGTAAGTGTTTACGATTTCCGTAGTGAGACGTAAGTCGATGTCGCAAGTCAACGCACAAAGAATTGTCGTAGACGTATAGGTCGAGTCAGACTAGCAATTATCGATTCGGATTTGACTGGGATTGGCGATTGTCTTTTCCAGCCAATGAGAGTCGATTAAGTCGCGGGCTGCTTTGCTCTCATTGGCTAGAAAACAATCGCCAATTCCAATTCAATTCGCGTCGGCAAATGCTAGTCTGATTCGCCCTTATGCCACCTTTCGAGGCGATGAATGCGACGTACGTCTACGACAATTGTTTGTGCGCTGACTTCCGACAGCGACCTAAGTCTTACGACAGAATCGTAAATACTTGCGACAATCTTTCTACTCCGGCCCCATCACTGTACAGATATCTCGGGCGAGATCGCGAATCATGGAGCAGCGATTTTATGAGCGCGACAAATCATCCGTTATGAGCAAAGTAATTGTATGTCGTATCGCAAGGCGATACATCTACGACAATTGTTTGTGCGTTGACTTCCAATAGCGACTTAAGTCTTACGACAGAATCGTAAATACTTACGACAATCTTTCTGCTCAGGCCCCATCACTGTACAGATCTCTCGGGCGAGATCGCGAATCATGGAGCAGCGATTTTATGAGCGCGACACGGTTTTTTTTAGTGAGTTTAGAAACGCGCATTTAGATTCAGGTTTACGTTCCAAAACATTTTCTCTGAGGAAAATAATTCTCGGAGAAAAAGATTTTGGAACGTAATCTAAAAAAAGTGTCGCAACCATTCCGTCCCTCATTGTACAGTGATGGACAGAATGGTTGCGACGCTGTTTCTTTTTAATGAGCTTAGAAACGCGCATTTAGATTCAGGGTTACGTTCCAAAATCTTTTCCAAGGAATAATTTGCTCGATGGCCATTCCGAAAGCATTTTGCACGTTCCCGATCTATCTCTCGAGTAAAATTTTCCTCAGAGAAAATGTTTTGAAACGAAAACCTGAATCTATATGCGCGTCCCTACGCTCATTTAAAATAAAATGCCGCAACCATTCTGTCCATCACTGTACAACGTTCGTGCTGATATCACGCGTGCCGTATCAATTGTGGGCCGCAAATGCGTTACGCAAATGCGCGCATAAATAAAAATAATACGCCGCGACTTTTCTCGAGCTCGAATCGCGCGGAGATTCCGTTCGCGAAGTATTACCGATAAACAAACGGAGGGACGAAAACGACCGTCACAAATGTCACACCCAGAAAAAGGATTTTATTCAGGTTAAACAAATGATATACGTTGAAATCATCTTTTTTGAATCTACCACATTTTTATTTACTTTTATTAAAACATTTGCTAGATTTGAAGGAATAGATATAAATTCTCCTGGAAATGCCAGTCTCAATCGAATAAAATTTTGGTTAAGGTGGAGAAATAATTTCTTTGAAATTGTATAAAAGCGTAGTAAGGTCAAAATTCGAAGAACCTTTTTTTCTGGGTGCAGATTGGTGAAAAAATTTCGTTCCTTTCTCCGTCGCTCTACGGCGAGAACGAATTTGTTGATCGAAATCCACGATGTGTCCCTGGTCGAACGTGAACGTTTCGTGCCGTCGATTACGTTCTAAACATTCCCCTGTTAATGCGCATTGTCGGCCAACCCCGTCGCGACGATCTATCAGAAATCAATTTAAAGGTTTTGGCCCGCGTTCCCGGGCGGAATACGGGACTTTTTATCTGTTATAACAGTCGCCGTACCGTGATTAATCGACCCGTCCGTGCTACTATTAAATGGGATGCGGATAATTAATCGTCGGTTTCGCCACAACACCTGCTTGCCTAGCGTGGGAACATCTGAACCGCGTTAGACGCGCGCGCGCGCGAGGCGCCGCGCAAAAACGGCGAGCATGCCGATCCGGGATCGTGCGCGGCTACGGAGGGCGAGTCATTAAGTAAACTGTAAATCTTGCTTATAACTCGCGCTACGCGCGCGCCGGGCTTACGTCAAATCCAATCGTAAATTCTGCGATATATGCACGAGAGATATTAAACCCTTACGCACTCGCGCCTGCACCCCCTCCCCCCTCCCTCTCGTTTTCGTGCTTTTCCAGCGTAACAATAACCGCGCGAGAGTGGCGAGAGCTAGCCGCTCTCCAATAATAAAGCGGCCCATAAAGCTCACGGGGCGTGAATGATGCGGGAATTACAGATAGTATTTACATCGCGTCTCGCTCCGCGGAGGAGCGGCTCTCGTCGATCCATTCGCGTGCCGCGTCCTCGAGAGAGGGAAAGGGGGACAAGTGAGGAGCGAGTACGCGGGGGTAATAAACGAAGCCGTAAAAAGCTCGGCGCGGCAACTGTGCAGTGATGGACAGAATGGTTGCGGCACTTTTTTTTTCTCTTAATGAGGAATATTTCATTCGATGGCTATTCCGAGACCGTTTCGAGCGTTTCTGATCTATTTTTCCAAGTGAAATTTTCCCCGGGGAAAATGTTTCGACACGTAAACCTGAATCTAAACGCGCGTTTGTAAACTCATTTGCAAAAAGTGTCGCAACTATTCTGCACAACCATCACTGTCGAGGGGTAAACCGCTGAGGGCATTTTTGGGCACCAGGGCTTGCTGGGGCATTATAAAGTTAAAACAAGATAAAGTAAGATAACAAGATAACGTAATGCTCACTGGGCATTGATAGGCATTGGTGTACATGATTTTGGCCAGCGATTTCGTCCTCGATCACTGTGCACTGCAAATACAGGTGTGTAATTTTTTCCACGCGTAAGTGCGCAAAATCGTCAAAATAGCACGCATATAAATGCGCGGAAGAGGCTTCGCGATTTACACGCGCGTTGTAAAAATTGCGTACTCGGATTTGGAGTACGCGCGCGCATACGTATAGAGCCTCGACGTGGCTGTCGGACGTCAGGCTCTCGTCCTAGAAATTTTAATAAGCCACAAAGCGATCGGATAGAGGTCCGCAGCAGGCGGCACCAGCCCCGGCAACGGCGTGGCGGCAGTAGACCGCCCTCCCGGTCGCCCTCCAGTCAACTTGCAGCGGTCGTGATAAATCAGGACGCACCTGGCGTCCCTCGCTGCACACACGCCAGGTCCGATGCATTCGCCCGTCGCACACTCGCCGGATTACCTTCGTCCTCTCTCCCGGTGCTCGGAGAAAAGCGTATTCTACGGTGCGGTCGAATTAAGAGCGCGGGAGCGTCAGGGGCGCGCGAAGAACGGACGGAAAAGGCGAAGAGGCTATAAATACGAGGAGAGGCCGGGAGAGCCGCGCAGAGCGGGCGAGAGAAAGAGAGAACTGTCCTCGGCACAATGCGTGCCGCACCAATCCTATTTTCAG